TTTATAGGTTTTTGGGACCCTGTGCGTCCACGCGCACTGTGATACCTCATAGTAATGTTTGTGAATACGGGTGTAAATCTCAGTCATCATTCGACCTGCAGTGGTCATTACATCATTTGATTGTACGAGTAGTTATGCATTCATACATTTGCGTGCGACCGAATACTTAGATCGTGTCGATAATCGGTTAGCGTTACAAAACACAGGTTAGGCGGTGTTATGGTTAAATAAAACGAATTCAATAGATGCACATAGCATTGAAGGGTTAACAAACATTTTGTATTTTTGAAAAGTCGCTTAAGGCATAAGATATATGTATTAAAGAGCAATAAAGTCTAGGTACCTAGTTACTTTAAACTGTGCTATCCTCCATTCTGTAGGATTCTAATAATTCTAGAAGAGTCTAAAATAAAAGGGTATACTTATTTCGACTCTATCAACTTAACCACTTGTCAATTACTTAACAATGTTATAAAAGCCTTATACATAATACATGTTGATTGTTGATATAAAAGATTGAAATACGAATCTGATGATAAAAAACAATAAGTAACTAATAACATTTATTACGGAAAAGTTTGCGATTAAACCACCTTCAGAGTTTCAAGATTGGCCTCTAAAGCGTCGTAATTATGTCTTTAAGTCTGCGTTTTCGCTAAAAATATAGGTACATTATAGTATTATACTTACATGTATTCACGATAAAGCTGCCGACCTTTACTTATATAACAAGGCTTTTAGAACGTTACATATGATACGAGGTGATCGATTGCAAGTTAATTGTGGCAGAATGGATTTAATGCCCCGCAGCATTGTACTAAACGCCTGAATTGCAAACACATTTCAACACACGCATCTTCATTTCACATGCACTAGGTTTTTGCCGCCATTTTGGTTGCAATCGGCTAATCATCCATCACACGATGCACTAGCCGATCACAATAGAGTCAATTTACTAGCAAGTGTGTTGAAAATTGGTACCTACGCGAGCTTCGTTTGACATTTTTCCGATAGGTGTTGCGGGACAGTTTTGTCCCTTAGTGTACCTATACTGTCCTTGTACTCATAGGCTTCTAGCTCACGGTCTTTTTAGACTTACGGGGCTCCTGTACTTTTACAACAATTAGACTATTGCTACCTCTGAACCTACCGAAGTACACATTATCCGTGGCAAAGCGGGAGACAAATTACTGAGAAAATTTATTATCTTCTTTTAAACGAGTACGGACAAATCTGATACTCAGATCGCCTTTAGGCTGAAATCAGTCTCACTTAACCAATTTGAGCCCACTATCCTATTTAAATCATTTCATGCTTGTCAATCACTGTAAATTTGAATTAAATGTCCAAAGAATGTTATGTGGGTGATAGTTTACTAACTTAATGGTATTTTTTGCTTTAGGTTACATTACAAAAGATTACTTAACCGTGTCCGACACCCATCAACACGAAACACCTTTTAGATACGATGTAATATCGCTATTAACACTAATTTCATCGAATAAAATGGGGAATGCTCATGGTGAAATAGATAATTATTTAATTACTTACTTACCTTAGACCTTAGATAATACGTAACTTTTTGTAGGCATCGATTCACTTTTGCAAGTTCTTTGTAGCTATGGACTTCTGACGATCAAAGAAGAAGTTAAAGAAGATTAAAGCAATTTTATTGTAAAAGAAATCAATTCATGTATCGCTAGCTCTACAATTAAGTCTGTATTTACCATAGGAATTCTAAATACTGGTCGACATGCCTATATATCTAATGAAAATGTAGCAAACTTAGTTTTATAATCGTCTAAGAATAGAAAAAACAGATAATCCGTATCCTTAACTCCTATGCTAATTACTTTATTGTTATGTATAATTGATAATGGTATCACTGTATACTCGTAATTGTCTCGTGCTGGACGTCACATAAAAAACTGACTTTTCAAGGAAAACCGTTTAAAACTGTCAATTCTATGAAAAATCGACCGTCTAACGTCTCTCCAATTAGCGCTATTCTTGCGTAAACGCATTTGGAACAATGCAGTAGTATTCCCGTGCCTATCGCCGTTGCATGTCTGTAGAAAATTTAATCTTATGTGAAAGGTCAATTGTTAGTGCATTCTCTTACAAATTGCTTCTAATATCCTTGAATGCAGCTTTCGTACTAAAATACTAGATAATTATTTAGTGCATTCTCTTCCAAATAGCTTATGCATCCTTGAATATGACTTTTGCGTCTTAAAATACTGTATTTTGGTATTTGTATGAACATAAGGCATTGATGTTAAACATTTGCCATATTGTTACGTACCAAGCTTTAAGCTTTTGCCCGCGGCTGAAAAAAATGTTGATTCTGCGACAAATACTCGTATTTCGTCGTGGTTTATATGAAAGATCAATGTAACAGACTGACAGATTAAATTATTAGTATGAAGGAATACGATAAAGTCACAGTCCGAAATTGAATAGGAAGTAGAAACAGCCACAAAACCACTTCAGGTTTTTTATACCGTTTTTGTCACTTTAAATAAATGGAACTTTACCAACTACTTGTCACCTTATGTCTACTTTAACTTTAATTGAGCCTTTTGTTAGTCGCAGGCGAGTCATAACACAAAAGTGTGATGAAGTGGCGACATGTTTATTAACACTAAAGAAGATAAACTATCATGTAGTGTACTTCATAAAAAAGAACTTAACTTGAAACATGTTACTACTTTTTACAAGCCTTTTTCCATTGAGAAATAGTTATACAGTACATAACAGTTGTACATAACGTATGCAAGTAGATTTTCATTTTCATGCTCTATGTATTCATTATTTTAATAACATATGTAGGCATAATTAATGTTTAATTGCATTTTAATAATTTAATTACGCGTGTTAGATATTAATTCGGTTTGATTTACGAAGCATGCATGCCTAATTTAATTATGCAATGTTTTATTACCTACTTATGGGTAATAATTTATTATCTATGGCTAAGAAAAGTTTAAGGGAAATCTTATGATTTATGTGTATCCTACATTTAGAATCAATTTATAGTGGATTACTTTAATAGCACAATGAAACTAGCAACTTTTTGCTCCAATTATGTCCACTAAGTTGTTGGTCAGTTTATGGCGTTCGTATAATAACTTAATTCGTATAATGGCGTAAGTAATGGTTTGTAACATTAAATATTATTACATGGTGTTGGCATAAGTATTTATAGAGTCATTTAGCTAACACCTTCTAAATTCGTGCGAAAACAAATCTATTTTTTTTTATAACATTTCACTATAGTCTAATTTTGCAATCGCCAGTAACTTTTCAAAATTCAAAAGAAATAAGTCAAATTAATAAGACACATTTTAATAGGCTGGTAATTAAGTAAGATAATAATAATTTAAATAAGATAAATCGTTACAAAAACCAACAAAAATGCAAATTTTGTGCAGTATAGCACAAAAAATCTTACCAGCTATCATAATTTATGAAGTCATATTGTTATTATCATTAACTACAGTGAATTTAAACATGTCATAGTTAAACACCTGCGTATTGCAAAACCACAAGTTTGTGTTACAATTTGTCTGCCATCCAAAAGACATCAACGCTTCAGTGAACACTTGGCGCATTTTGTATAATTTTGAATCCATTATTATCAAATTCAAATAGTTTAATCAGTACATACGGCCACACTGTTAACTATCCATTTCCGTTTTTGCATCAAATGGTGATTCTTTGCGATAGAACGAGATGACATGACTGGCAATGTGCAGCTAACACTGTTGCCGATAGTACATAGGCCCTTTCCTGGGCACTTATACACGTCCCAAATATAGCTTGCCCTACCACCACTTCGGGACAACATTATTGGCTGGTGCTGAGAAGAAGTGGCGGAAGAAACTCAGTCACCTTTGTCATGAACACACATGTAAATATGAGTCCTCTATTATACCACTGGTATAAAGATTCGTGTCTTCTACGTTATAAGTTGATAGAGAATATTTGATTGCAAGTAAATACAGATTTTTTTGTTTTTACAATACAAATCTATCCTGTCTTATAATTTCATGTCATGTATTGATGGCTCACTAACTATTACGAGTGTAAAGTTTGTTTTTGTTATTTAAATTGTATATCCTTAACAAATTGACTGTCAAAGAATGAAAACCAAAATAAAGCCTGCGATTTTAGAAGGCCATTGACTTTCAAATTTTTGAAACCGGTACTAATCAAAAATAAAAAGGTGTCTCGAGGGCAAAGAACTTTGAAAAAAATTAACAAACAAAATTGCAAATACAATTTTGAAGTTCTCGAGTGTGTAGGTGTATTATTCAAAAACGCAATTCATCAAACATAAAACGAACACGCCTTAAATATGTATTGAAAAATGATTACATCCATACAAATACTTTTTTTTTCATCTTAACTTTTTTGTCTACACAGGTAATGTCTTAGGATAGATAAAATAATTTATTTATTTGGTCTTATTTATCTATTTTTTGCGACAGGTTGAATAATCACATGTCATCGATCGAATTTAATGTTACTTTACCTAGAGACGGTCGTTTTCAATTAAAATTGCATTTTGCAGTCACTAAAACCTCTTTTTAAAGCTCCATTGCACGCACAGAAGCACGCATCATCCTCCTTTTATGTGAAGAAATAAATAGATCTATCTTCATTTTCTTGTTCCTTATCTTCATTTTAATAACGATAACATTTTTCCTTTTTACTCACACAACGAAGAAGCTCTTGGCCTCTCACCTGTACCTCTAGTAGGAAAAACTTTCGAGTTCGTTTCGTTGCGTATTCAAAGTGTCATCGAAAAATTTTGTATGAAAAATTAAACAGCGCCCCCTAGGGCGGCTATAATATAGGGGGCGCTGTTTAATTTTTCATACAAAATTTTTCGATGACACTTTGAATACGCAACGAAACAAACTCGAAAGTTTTTCCTACTAGAGGTACTGATGCATGGTATTGACGATATTAACCAAAGCTGTTTTCAATTCCAGGTTCGGAGATGACGGTGAGCTGATGATGGGGAGTCCCTCCTCCGCCGCCCTCACCCCCCGCCCCTCCACCGCGCGGCCGCCGCTTTCCCCCACCACCGCGCGCCCCCCACCCCCGCCGCCGCCAAGGTGAATGAACGGACATAATTTGACTGGCAGTTGCCTTGTATAGACGTATTTTTTGTAGCCACCGTAGTTAGGTAGTTGGTGTTCAATGGTAGAGTTTGAATGAGGGTTTTCGCGATTGAAAAATCCGCCAGGTGGCAATACGTAGACGGCTGCATGATTGGTGGATTTTGACATATCTGTCAATGTCATGTCAAAAATAATCAATCATGCAGCATTTGGACCTCCCGTCTACGTATTGCCATCTGGCGGATTTTTCAATCGCGAAAACCCTCATTTTGACGCAATCACGATTTTTGTGGATTAGTTGCTTGTATTATATTAAAATTTTATTCTGATGATGCTTGAAATTAAGATAAAGATGCTTTTGTAGAATTTCCAATTACTTAAGTATTCACAGATTACGCCTAATATAAATAGTGCTGTAAATATCTATACAAAAATCATGGCTGAGTCCTTCCTTATAGAGCTATTTCTTTAGATTTTACTTAGCGTAACCTGGAGCTACTGTGTAAGATATCATTGTGTTTTAATGGTTTTCAAAAAATCTTTAGAAATAGCACTATTATCACTTACTAAAGCTTCCTAGTAATAATTTGAAGCAGTAGTTAGTCAATTCAGAAGTCATGATCAGGGTTATCTATCTTTCAAGTGACTGTCACTCAAAGAAGAACACCTAAAAGGCCCTAATTGAAGTAATAATTTTATTTTGACAATTTTATTCAGGTTATGGAGAATAAAAGTCGAGAGAGAAATCCTCTTAGGCTTCCTTATTAGAGAAACAACGTACTATTTCTAAGAAAGGTATTTTTCGAATTTCCTTATAAATGTTTTGATGCATTGTGAATGTCCTACAGCAAGCTATCTAAAATTATGTATACTTATGTACTTTAATTAGAATATTGATTATTTCATATACATACGTACTTATTGAGTATTTACTTAAAGATAACCCATATCATAATTATATTTTATTTTATAAATGTACTTATAATTTTAAAGGCAAAATTTGAATACTAACTCTATTTTTAAGTAGGTACTTATAATATTATTTTAAAATTCTAATTTTGTCTTTAAGTTTGCGTGCGCTATCTATTTACTCTCACACTAAAACTACTATACTTATCCATACTTAATAACACATCATACTTACCAAAAGGGTGTCAGGGGCAAGTTCAAGATAGTCAAAACAGTGCATTCAAAACGGAGCTTAATCTTTTTCAATTTAAGACTCGTAATAATATGCAATAAAAAAATTGAATTTGAATTTAATATCATGAGTGAAGCCTGTGAGTAGGTACTTGAATTTAAATAATGCAAATGAGACCAATCACAGCATTGAATTATTTCTTGAGTGTAAAATCATACTTCAGCTGAGTATTTTCAAAGAGCTTTTCCTTGCGCCCTGTTGACTACCTGATAACTCATAATCATTAATTTATTCATAACAGAATTCCTCACAACTCATACTACCAAATACTTTCTTTAACTCTATCATCACATACCTACTTACGTAAGTACAAAACTATTCTTACCTACTGACATAATACTTTACAAAATCTGTATTTTTGGCATGTGGTAAAGTTTTGAATTAATGTTTTAAATATTTTGTAGCATGTTCGTAATTTGCATGATTTACTTACTATTAATATTCAAACGCTAGTCTTTCATTAGGATAACATTATTTATTAACAGTCAGATATCATCTTTAACTTGTTAAAACTAAAAATAAAAATTTATAATATAATGGACATAATGCATGCTCATGTATGCATGTAATACATTGACTTGTTGGTAATTCTGAATAAATATTAAAAGGGTATTTAAATAAATTATGTTTTTGAATTATGTATAAAATGCTATTAGAATTACAATAGCTATCAATCAATGGATTATTCCTGACTTGATAAAAATATAATGATTTAGAAGTATTTATTGATACTTATTTAAAACAGAATACTATAAATTATAATTGCAAATAACTCCAGGCTTTTGTATCATCATCACAATTACAAACCATTTAAGGAATCGGATTACAGTGGAATAAATAATAACTATTGAACGTTATGATTGACGTAAAGTAATTTGTTCAGCAATTATTCAAGAATTTGTGCTATGCGAAACGGATTCGCATCTTTGAAAGCATAAGCTGATGAAATAAAACTCTAGGTTGGTTCCATACATTGGCCTTCCATTTGCGTCTCTTTAGAACCTTTTACCTTCCTGAGTGCTATTACTTTTTGTCTATCAACTATCCAACCGAATTCGTTGCGGGTTCAATGCCAGTTAAACTTTCCCCCGGGACAAACTTGACCTTCACCGGTAAAGTTTTTATTCGCGATCAAGCTGTACATCCTTGCTACACAGGAGTTGCAGTGGTGGAAACGAGAAGTGAGGATAGTCCCGAAACTATTCGACCGATTCTTTGACCAATTAAAAGAAAATTTTTTCCTTAATAATTTGGGTAAGGATTACTAGAATTGGTTCGTTGCTGAAAGTGACAAATTTGCTCTACATTTACGTTGCATTTTTCTGGTTAATGCTAGGTATTTATTCAGGTCTCACGTTACAATTTACATAGATTTACTACTTATTATTGCAATTCACAAAGACATGTCAGCAACTCTAGGTTATTAGTTTCTCAGCACAAAACTACAAAACATGTTGACACAAAAACAAAATAACCACGAACATATCAAAACGCCAGTAGATAGCAAAACCGCATGCTTACCTAGCATAGCATATAGCTTGTAGCACGAAGACTAAACCTACTTTTTACCCTGGGTAGCAGGAGCATCTTGCACTACTTGCATCGGTTGTTGCATGAATGCATTGCAGGGCAGCACGGGACTCCTGCAAGGTACTCCTTACGGTTAGTAGTCATAGTTCATTCAGATTTGGACTACAAAATAAAAACTCTTGGTCTATCTGGTTATTTTAAGATTAAATCACACTATAATCAGTTGGTAGTAACTAGACGTTTTAAGGAGTTTTCCATTCCACAGAATGTCTTATTTTTAATTTGAGTTGTAAATTACTAAATTACGCGAACGGAGTAATTCCTGAAAAAAAGGCACGACCAAAACAATCAATCGTGTAAAATTAATAAATCCTATACTTTGTAAATACTATGTAGGTACCTACTATATTATGCTTTAAAGTCTGGAGTATCAAATAGATAATATAAGTATTATGTTTTTCTTTAGTGAACATCATTTGTTTATCCATTAGATAACTATTTACAAGTTTTCATAATAATTTCGTCATTTTGGGAGAGCATGAGGTGCATGGGTGCTCAATATTCTGTGTCTGTGTTTGTCTACCCTGAAAATTCATCTTAAATTAACTATAGAAACTAATTATTATTCCTACAATTTTTCAGACCGACCCAAACGTCGTGGGTGTCCGCGAGTTCAGACGCGATGCCAACACGTTTCCCACTGCGGCCGACCAACGACATTCCAAGACCTTACACCACAGCCATCACATTCATAGACCAGATAGGGTATAAGATAATCAGGACCACCGAACTGGTCACGGATATACTGAAAAACACAGTCCGAGCTGTCGTTGGGCGGTAGACTGTGATGGACTATCCTGAGGATTGTAGATTTGGTTTAAAACAAAGAATTCGCTACAATACCAAACCTGAATCATAAGCTAAGTGAATGAATCAGAAGTCAACCGTTATATCAAATAACAAAAATGTTACTGATTTCAGATTATTATTAAAAAATACAGTGATTTCAGGATAGTGTGTCGGAGATAGTGGATAACGCTTAATTCAGGCGTAGGGTTTCCTACACATTTTATTGAGTTAATTGAGATTAAAAATGCCTATAGGTATAAATAGTGGTTAGTACCACCGACTAAGTATATCCATACAAATGGATACTACGAGTATAATAAAGTTATTAAAAAGGAGATACGAGTATGTCCGGTAAAAGATAGATCTCTCGTATTATTTAAGGAAAACGCCAGAAGTCATATTATTAACGTTTAAATTGTAATACTTTGTTTTATTTTTCGACTTCACCAAGCCAAGTGGATTATATTTTTTTGTTCTTTGTAATTATTTTTAATAGTCGGCATGTTTTTAAGAGTTTGATAACAACGACAGAGTCAATTTATACTTCCTCAAGTGTTTACAACTGCGTAGGTATTAAGTTATTTATATCTTTTCCTTCTTATTACACAAATGAGCATAAATAGCTAAGAATGTGTTTACGTGCTTTGATACTAATTTCATAGCTCGATAGTATCATAAGTTCCTTAGATTGTAAGTCAGCCATGACAATGAACTATTTTTACAGTAACTGTTGTTTTATTTAAACCCTGTTAATAATATAGAGTAAAAAACACTTTGCCTGAGAGTACCAACTACTTAAGGCTTGGTATTTCTTCTAAAGTAGGTATTTCGCGCTGTCAAAATCTGCGCGCGCAATTCTTCGCCGAAAACAGCGCGTCAAAGAGCTCCCGCCACAATGTCCAGCTACACAGTATAGAAATACGCAGTTGGTTAGGTTAGGTTGACTTCCTTCCCTTCAAGCGTCACACTCACAACACTTTCTAATAGAAATCATATCCAAGTGATACAAATTAAAACACCTTTCAGACTTTTTGGGAATATATTCTAGAATCGAATAAATATTAAAATATAACTGCAGAAGTAAACACGGTTCAAAGTGGCCGTGGCGTCGTCCGACCTTCTGGAAGTTCTGCGCCGGCTTAAGAATTTCAAGATTACGTCGAGCGATTGGATTTTTTTTTTATGATAAGTTACTCTTAGTAGCGATTATTTAGAGCTTGGATAATAAATTTAATTATAGTTGTTGCAATTCACGAAGCTTTGCATGTGGTTAATAACATTAATCAGTATAGGTACGCATCAATTTTGTTCAGTCTCTTTGTTTATTAATAAATAAAAATATCATACGAAAATTGCAGAAACATATTTGTTTGTATTGGTCTGGGTGTTTTCTTTCTATAATATGTATGACATATGTACGTGGTTCTGTACCTATCGAAAATTGCTATGAGCATCACACGCGATTACCTGCGTACCTCTGTGCACTCATGGGAGTTTAAGCAGAGGTCCCTAGAGTTTGACTTTGAGCTTTGTTTATAGTCATTACGAAGCAGACTGATGGGAAACTGCACTGTCTTGAATTCGAAAGGGTAATTTGACGGTGTTTGGGGAATTCTAGGAATAAATACAGAGTCTCCTCATTGAGATTGAGACATTTCAATTTGAGATTTCACTTGACATTGAACACAATCTGAAATGGAGTTTTCAAACACTTGTAAAAATAAAAAGTCGGTTCACCCGGGTACGAGCAAGATGTACAAGGATTTGAAGGTGAACTTCTGGTGGAATAACATGAAAAAGGATGTCGCTGAATTTGTAGCTAAGTGTTTGACGTGCCAGCAGGTCAAAATCGAGCATCAGAGGCCAGCCGGGATGTTAGCAACCACTTCCGATTCCTGAATGGAAGTGGGAGGACATCTCGATGGATTTTGTTGTTGGAATGCCGAGGGCAAGATCGGGAATGAATATGATTTGGGTGGTCGTCGACCGATTGACCAAATCCGCTCATTTCCTTGGGATCAAGGATACTTGGGGACCGGAGAGGCTAGCGCGGTTATTCATTGAAGAGATTGTCCGACTTCACGGTACGCCTAAGAGTATATTATCGGATAGGGACGGTCGGTTTGTCTCTCATTTTTGGAGAGCAGTACATAAGGCTTTGGGGACAACGTTGCGGTTTAGTACGGCCTATCATCCGCAGACCGATGGCCAATCAGAGAGGACGATTCAGACGTTAGAGGACATGCTGCGGGCATGTGCCTTGGATTGGAGTGCCGACTGGGAAATGCATTTACCTCTGATAGAGTTCACGTATAATAACAGTTGGCACGCTTCGATTAAAATGGCGCCTTTTGAGGCTTTGTACGGACGGAAATGTAGATCGCCTCTCTGTTGGAACGATGCTGCGGAGTTGATAGGGACCGAACCTGATATTCTAGTTGAGACGAGGGATAAGATCGCGGTTATTCGAGAGAGGTTATTGACGGCTCAGAGTCGTCAGAAATCCTATGCCGATGTGCGGAGGCGTCCGTTGGAATTTGAAGTCGGAGATCACGTGTTGTTGAAGGTGTCCCCAACCCGAGGTATCTTCCGTTTCGGGAAGAAAGGGAAGCTAAGTCCGCGTTATATCGGGCCGTTCGAGATATTGGACAGAGTTGGAGACTTAGCGTACCGTTTGGCATTGCCGCCTGCCTTGAGTCACGTTCACAACGTATTCCACGTGTCTCAATTGAGAAAGTACATTCCGGACCCGAGTCACGTCATCGACTATGGAGAGATTGAGGTGGCTAGCGACGTCACCTACGTGGAGCGTCCGGTTAAAATTTTGGAGTATCGTGTGAAGAAGCTATGCAACAAAGACCATCTCCTTGGTTAAAGTGCAATGGTCTCGACATGGAGTCGAAGAGGCCACTTGGGAGACGGAAGAGGATATGCGTTCGAGACACCCCGAGTTGTTTTAATTTTTAAGTTTCGGGACGAAACTTCTTTTAAGAGGGGTAGTATGTAATATCCAGATATTACGTGTATGTTTTTGGAATGATATTACAACGCATATTCCTTGAAATGAGATTTTTGTTACAATTTATTTATATAAATTCGTATTTCCGTTAATGTGATTGTGGTGAATTACATTAGAAATCGTATTATTGTTACGTTATTATTTTGGATGAGTATTTGATGTTTAAACGAAGTGTTGGGACGAAACACAGCTGAAATCGGGCCAAAAACGGAAGAAAATAGAAGTGTTGACAGTCAGGCATGGGTTGCATTGGAGTCCGATCGATCGGATTGGAAAGGGATCGATCGGAGTCACCGTCGGACAAGTACAGCGATTCACAGGCATCGATCGGACTGGAGTCCGACCGATCGGATTGTAACACTGGTATTATTATACTGTGACTCATCAAAGTCATCATTGTCAAAAATATTGACAAATCGAGAACTGTCACGGCCAAAAAACTGACACGCGTCCGTCCTCCGTAAGCGCCACCGCGCGACTGATTGAGATTGTCCAAGCCGTCATGGGCGATTTTTTCCACATTTTTTAACATAGTAACTAAATAAGACGCAATATAAAAATTTCATCCGTTAAAAGCCCTCAAGTTATTTCTGAACTTTAGTTTAGTAAAAGATTCAGAATCTCAAATCGCTTATTTTAAAAATAAAACCATAATTAGAAAACGAATAGAGGTAACTTTGGGAATTTATTCTATCGAGTCAACTTCATCAAATCGTGTTTCCATCCGTTAATAGCCCTAGAAAATATCCTCAACTATGCCCAAAAAAAATCTTAGCCTTTTATTTTACTGTTTAGTACCTCAAAAATGAAAAATGAAAACCTCATTTTCGCCATTTTCTCTGTTACCCGGCCTTAACCTCGACTACCTGACGAACGAATCTCCAAATCATGATGATGGATTTCGCATCCTCATAGCCTAAGTAAGTAGGTACTTATTTGGTATGTAAGTACTTACTTACTCGAATGTTTCATTAAATATAATAAGTATGCAAAAATCCTAAACAACAGAAGTAATGTAAGATTGGATTACTAATGTTTGGCCAAAAAACGTTTCCCAAATTATCACATCGCAAACAACGTTTCCCAAATTTTCATTTGGCAAATTTTCATTTGACAAAACAACTTATTGCAAATTTTTAATTCGCAAATGTCTATTTTGGCATATTATTGTTTACCAAATTATTGTTTGGCAAAGTATGTTTTGCCAAATATTTCATATGGCAAAAATATTTCACGATAAACAATTTACAAAATAATTTGATTGGTGCATAGAATGGATTACAAATAAGCTTGTGGTTATTATTTTGTTTAGTGGGTAGTTAATATAATTTTTTTTCTTAATTGATTTTCATATTTCATTCTTTTCATCGAAATTTCCAAATGATTCATTAACAATGAAGGTGATTGTAGCGCTCGGCGGCCGCTGCCGCGGCACGCTTCGCTCGCCTTCGCGCGTTAAGGGTCACTGTTCTAACCTAACCTACTATTTTCTGCAATACCTACTTTCTGCAACCGTACTGTTTTCTGCAATCTCTTTGTTTTACATAAAATTCTTGTGAAAACCATGATCATATGCATATGCTTTGATTTGTGGGTAACGGTGGGTAAGTACGTGAAGTGAATTTGACCAAACAAATTGGTTGGGATATAATATTTGGCAAAATAAAACATTTGCTATATAAACATTTGCCAAGTAAAAATTGGCCAAATGATAATTTGACCAAATGAATTAGTTGCGAAAAGTACAGTTGCTAAAAGTTCATTTGGGAAATGAAACTTTGGCGATAAGTTGTTTGCGAAGTGAAATTTGGCGAAAAGTAATTTGGCCAAACGGAAGGATACCGTAAGATTAGTTATTTATATTTATGTGAACTTCAAATAGATAGCCAAGCCAGCGCCTGATGGGTGGCACTCCTATGTTATTACACTATATCAAAATAATGCGGAGCTGTTTTAGTAAGGAGAAGTTTACATATTTTATTTGGTGAACTGAATTTGATGTTACTTTTTTAAATCGTATAGTCAACAAACAGCGCATTCTACAAGTTGATCCTTCGATCTTAATAGAGAGAGACCTTCATATGTTTGTCCATGACTAAATTAAGTAAATTAGGTACTTTCAGGTATTTTCTTTTTCTTAAACCGACTACCCTACATTTAGTAAGGTATTAGTCTACACTTGAATACTACTAAAAGATTTCCCTTGTTAGCCTCTTGAAACTAAGCCATTAAATAAATATATTGCATCATCTATTCCACTGAAGGTTTCGATTACAGATCCATTGAAACTCGACCGCTACAGATAAAACTGAAACTCTAGGACATGCAACCTGAAATAATTATCGTATTTAGAACAAAATATTTATGATAAAATTAGCAAAAATTAAATTTAAAAAAATTACAAATATTTCTTAAAGGAATTTTATAAGTATGGCGGCTTTTAGTCCACTTTCCAAAAGGCTTGCTGAAAGTGAAAGTGGTTCGTTGTCACTCTCATTCTAGTTACGTGACAACCGATAAAGTTAAACCATTCACAAACCAGTAACGAATAATGTTAATTTTAGTGAGTTTGTTCCGGCGTTTCTTCTCAGCACTTGCCATATGTTTGTCTCGAAGCGCTGGTAGGGCCCAAAAGATAAGGAGACATGTAAAGTGCCCCATAAGGGCTACCTTTTTCTTTTTTTATTATTTTCTATTGACGTTCATAAGTGCCACTTGTGGTCTAAACTGAATAAATATTTTTGATTTTGATTTTGATTTTGATTTTGAGTAAGCGAATGTTACATCATTGAGAAAAATTGTAACAGAACGGTGAAAGGCAAGCAGAAAACCTAGGTAATTTATTAGGAGTTATACGCTGCTGTATCATCTGATTTAATTTGATATTGTCTATGATTGTATACGACTTTATTGCTGCTCATGGGACTTTCCATGATGCCCATCTTTACCTTAACACTTTATTTTGGGTATTCATTTTGTTGCACTCTCATACTTTGTCCCAGGACTAGGTCAACCTTTACTGGTTCGGCTTAAGTAGGCAGGTAATTGACAGATAAGCTGGTGTTTCTAGAGATAGGGTGTACTCGTAGTATCTCTACCAAAGATTACTTCACATGAACAGGAGTGGTGGGTACGAGAGGTAGTCGATACCTAAGAGTTCCTTATTGGCATAGCCTTCCCCATCTTCACCTCGAATCTTCTTGAGGTGCTAGCGACTTTATATTTTATGTAGGTATAGGGATCGTATTCGTCGTTCCTTATTAATCCTACATGAAGGAAAAACCTAACGACGCTTGCCAAAAGGCACGTTCTACACTCAAGAGCCTATGCAAATAGCCTATTTAAACGAAGATTTATTAAACCCCACCAGTCTAGATTTAGCGGAAAAACTAGCCCTTTCTATTTTAACTTTTGCTTGATTAAGTTTATGCTCAAAGCTCAAATATAAATTTAAATAGATTAGATAAATATTATTGGGCGGACGTAATTAAAAGCTGTGGACCTCGTCATTAAACCGGCTACAGATCAAAATCTATAAAAACACTATTAATGTTAATTTTGGACACAAATGCAGAAATAATCAGAAACTCCGCTGCTTCTGATTACATGAACAATTTTAAAATAATCGACTGGAAGGTGCAAAGTTAAATAACTAAAAGAGGTCAAGTTCTAAACAACCATCGCGTGAAACTTCGTGACGGCTTGGTGCATTCGCCGGCATTGAAACATAATCAAACAACTGAATTTAGACAGCAAAAAAATAGTAAATACTTAGTATTAACAATGTAAAATGTACTGACGAATTAATTTTTAGTATCACCATCCATTCAAATAACGCGCCAAAATGACGCGTAATAAGGAAACTAATTTATAAAACAGTCAACAAGTTTCATTTGGGACTTTTGCTGCATTTACGTCATCAAATGATTCAGTTCAGGTGTTATGCAGGCTATTGGGGGAATTTTACAAAAGTATGTAGTATTATGAATAACAAAAACTAATTAAATGTATTGTCTAAATGTAAGGTATTTTGCCACTGAAACTGACAGAACTAAAGCTTTATAAATACCTATCAAATCATTATTAAATAAATAAAATGCATGTTTTAGTTATCAAATACAATTTTACATCATACTTAAATGGGCAAGAACATTAAATTTTATCTTGAGGTTCACACAATTATCAACAATGCCTTTATAGTGGTTGACCTTCATTATCAGACTCATTTGCTTTGAATTAGTCTCATGATTGTAATAAATTAATAAAAAAAAGCCAGATCAGATCACAACATTTATTATTAAATATTTTTCTGGATATATCACATCAAAGTTTATATTTTGCATCACATTTAAAGATATAGACAGACTCAGTACACACATACACATCCAAACTATGAGATTTGTTCCCTTATTGTCTGAAAATATACTTAACAATCTAACATTAAAAGCATATAAGAAAATGCTTCATATAAATACAATAAATTCATTATTGTGCAACACAATATTATTACTTTGTTTCACTTTTTAAGTATGCAATCACATCAATATTCTAGTTTGGCAAGATTTACTGGACAATCAGATCGGTGACATTGTCTTTTGTGACAAGGGCAACCAAGCTACCACTTGGGGGCCGCTCTTCACCCTTGATCCACTTGTCAAACAGCTGAGCCACGAAGGGCAGAGGTGTCCACGAACTGAAGTCAGCTTTTGGCATCCATTTTCTGTTCATCTCTGTGTCGAGTGTAACTGGCAAGATGGCAACGGCCAGTGAGTTTTCAGGAAGACCAGAATCTTTAGCACCAAGAGATTTTGTGAGTTGGTGTACAGCACCTTTAGCTAGGCCATATCCGATCATACCGGGCGTCCCTTCCAAGGCAGCCTTTGCGCCAGTTAAAGCCAAGAGGCCTCCAGGGGTTAAGTATTTAGCAGCGACTGTAGCCGAAATGGTGGAGCTCCATACTGACTGGCGCCACATCAAGTCAGTCTGCTTGCTCAGATCCTTGGCAGCGTTGCCGCCGGCCCAGCCACCGGCCACGCAAATCACAGCATTCACTTTCTGACCTTGCAACGCGGCGCCGAGCTCGTTCACTACGTATTCCTCTTGCTGGACCCACGAAGCATCCTTGGGCACGGTGATGTTAACATCCGCGCTGTCGTTGGGGTTCAAATCGACGCTCGCCACCCACCAGTTGGCAGATTTGAAGTGGTTAACGCAAGCTGCGCCGAGCGCTCCACGGCCTCCATACACTACGATCCTTCCGCTGGCCATTATTACGTCTTGCTCCTGTCACTTTTCGGACCCAACTGATTCAATATCGAGGGCGGCTTGGCGCAAACTCGTTATCTTCGCGCCGCGGTTAACCTCGAATACCTATCACTTTATTTTTTGTCGCCGAACGCTACGCTAAGACAATCTATTATGTGACGTATTGTTATATGTGTAAGCAGGATTGGCTGTTAGAGTTGCCTACTATCAATGATAAAAGTTTATTGATTTACACAGCAAAAAGTTAAAAGTTCGACAAATCGATTCGCAACAAATTGGGTCAATGAATGACATTATTTTGACAGTTGGTTGACTGACAGTGACATTTCATCGTTTGCGTTTTGATTTTCCATCGCCGCTGACCTCAACTATACGTTTTTTTGGAAAGAATAAAATTATACGTATAATTAATAAAAAGCTGATTATTATACAGTGTAAATATTCAAAGACAAGTCACTAAAATATTGTGATTGGTTGTGGTAAAATATCTTTTTAGGTTTAAGTTTTTTTTTTTATGTTAACCTTTTCAGCGCCACGGTCTTCTTTAAAAGTCAACCGTTGCCGTGCCCTCCACGCACCATCACACCACGTTTTCTTTAAGACAATATCTAATCACAACATTTCATGGGTAGGTTTAACATACTATTTGTAAATAAAAATAAAGAAAGAGAGTGTAAAATATTTTATTTTAGTACTTAAAATTATAGAATAACACAAATATTTATGTTAGGGTCAGGGAGGCAACAGTGACTCACTTTTTTTTCGAAGCTTAATAAAAATAGATATCGCTTTAATATTGGCCTAAAATTTGCTCACATTTTAGATACACTATTGAACTGTAACTGAGCACTCATGATTCTACATTATTTACTACTTATGTCAAAGTAGGAACCTAAAACAAAAAAATGATAATTGAGCCACTGTGGACTACTAGGTGTACACACTGACTCACTACCGTGGTACACAGTATTAACGTGGTAAGGCAGTATTTATATGAAAAGAAAATGCCCATTCCGCGTAGTTTTTTATTAGAAATAATAACAAAACTGCACAAGCTATTCTTATTATAATCAACAATTCAACACGACTCTTAGTACTTTTATTGCTACCTATAAGATCTTAAGTCATCTCAATCTCTTCGTTATTTATTTTTTCCCTATTTTTCTGTCGGTTTTTTTTCGTGGCTTTCTGTGAATAAAAAACAAAATTCGATTTACAGTTATAAAATATTGAATTCGTATAAAGTATTAAAATTGAGTCACTGTGTACTTCTACGCCATTTTGTAAATATTTGATCAGAAAAACCAACATGTAAAACAAATTAGTCAAAATTCGGATTAAAGACAATTGATACAAGACCTACTATCCGATAAATATAACGGCTATTACCTATAGCAACAAACAAAGACATGAAAACAATCGAAACTCACCTTAGAATGTAATTTAGAGGGCGCGAAAACAAAAAACATTCCCTCACCCTTCCGCACGGCACTTGACCGGCGAGCAAACTGGTTTAAACGTGTTCGGGTACAAAGACCTTTGAATCGGTAAAAGAGACAAATATATATTCCTATGCCTTCAGGTCGAAACATGACTGAGCCACTGTAGCCGACCGAGTCACTGTTGCCTCCTTGACCCTACATAAAGATAGTGTAAAGTGCAACTGATGATTAAGTATTTAAATAGTACCCTCTACTCGCTTTATCACTTTATTTCATCATTCTAGGTATCATTAAATAATAATAGGAGGTAAAAAGAGATTCTTTACCACGTATCACTATTAAACATAAACTAGTTACATATAGGTAGGTAGGTTGTATTATTAACTATATCTATTAGTACATCTATCTAGTATAATATGTACTTAGATAAACCTGCCTTCTTAATATCACCTTTCGGCTGGCTCAGTACATTAAAAGTAAAGCTTTTTGAGTGAACGAAAAACAAGTAAACATAAAAAAACATCTAAATAAAATAAAAAGAACAAGAAAAAAAAACTAAATAAAAATCTAATCAAAACCCCTCCTCAGCTCTGGCAATGGCAAAGCTGTCTATTTGAATAGAGTACAAGATGCTGATGATGATGTTAAGAGTGATGCTCATCACTTTGAAGGCCAGACTCGTGTTGTTCAGGATCTCTGCTTTGCGATGGTCAGGCTGATGGTTAATGTTAAAGATGCTGCTCAGCACCAGAGCGACTATCGCGGAGACAACCTACAGTGAAACAAAAATAAAAGTAAATAAAAAAACAAAAACAAACGGAAAATCAATCATAAATTAAAAAAAAAAACAAAAACAAGAAAAAATAATCAAGGAAACACAAAATAATTGAAATTAAGTTAAATAAAATCTGATTTAGGTGATTAATAATGATTGATGTGTTGAAACCTTATTATAATTTATTATACCTACTTATACTTAATTCATAAATCCTAGTGAACTGTAGGTACGTTACATTAATTCAAATGAAGTTAAGTTAACTTAAGTTAATTAGGCTATCAAATTCTACCGTAACATTTAGGTAGGTATTTATTTATTATAAATTAAATGGCACTAAACTTATGATTTGAAATGAAAACTCTACGCCTAATTTGGCTTGTTCGACTTGACGAACCAATCATAAAAATTAGACGTGATGTTGTTCAACAAATCTTTTTCAGAGAGCGCGGGGTCAAGACCGAACGTCATTTTGATGACGTCACAAAAGACCACGCAGGTCATGAGACCGACCGAGGTGTGGTAGAGCCAGAGAGATATCTTCTTTTCAGTCTCACTCCTGTCCACGTCCAAAAACGTCATCACGATCGCCAAGACACCCGCGCTCGCCTGTAGAAAATGACACTATAATTTAGGGTTCCGTAGTTTTTAATGTAGTTTACAATAAACTAGCTCACATAGCTCGCAGAGCTGATAGCCACTGGGACAGAAAAGTTCTCAAGTGACGACCACGACTCGGAAAACGTAGTGTGGGCAGGCCTCCCCTCCCACTAGGTGGACCGACAAGGTGAGGTGCCTGGATGTGGGCGACTCAGGACCGGTCTTTGTGGAAATCCTTGGGGGAGGCCTTTGTCCAGCAGTGGATGTCATTCGGCTGAAACGAACAATAAAACTGAAAATCATAAAACAAATGGTAGAGTCGATATTTAGAGTGACGGTATGATATCATTAGGACACTTTCATAACTGCTTGCAATAGTACAACAAAACATAAATGAGTAAGGTATTTAATTATACTTAATGAGGTGCTAAGTAATACGGATCAATATTTCAAATGCAGTAAATTAATAAGTTAAATTATTTATTCTGGTTGTTTCATAATAAGCATCATTATTTCACTTTGAAATAGTTTTAAATGTACCTCTACTAACTGTATTTTCAACCGACTTCAAAAAAAGGAGGAGGTTCTCAATTCGACGCGTATGTTTTTTTTTTTTTTTTTTTTTCTTATTTATTAGGACGAATTATTAATATTTATGTAGGTATACCATGATTGATACTTTTGGAGTCGGTGCAGGCAAACTTTACATGTTTCATAATCTTGGCACCGACTCCAGAAGTATCAATCATGGTATACCTACATAAATATTAATAATTCGTCCTAATAAATAAGTAGGTAATTAGTAATTATTATTCAACTTTTTAGTGTAGGTTTTTTGGAGTCGGTTTTTTTTTTTTTTATAAAATTTAACTTATTTAATATGAAGTATTCTCAGAATAAAATAAAAGTAATCTTATGTACTTTTGAAATGCAACATTTTTACAAGTTATTATGAAAAGCCAAACAAAACCCATGACAATTAAACTTTAAACATGCAGGTAAATAGAAATCAAGTCAAGGTAAATAAGTATAATTACAAACCTAAATTAAATATTCCGTTTTGCTACGCGAGAGCGAGTTTTGATCACGATACCGTTTTTCTGTAAATGTATAGCTACCTACTACTTAACTAATATCTTAATATTCACAGCATTTTTCACGAGCTAAATCTTAAAGCTAATAAAATGAGTATTTTCTAAGACCCTGTAACATTGCCTACCCTCAAATACTCGCTATTTATGTATTTCAGACGTTCTAACACTAAAGGGCTGTTCGAATACTCAATGCCGAATGCCGAAATGACGATATTGATGACTGAAATTACGAAAATGAATATGACGATGACGTCATTGAGGATCACAGCCGAGGGCTGCTCATCGAGGTCATTCAGGTCCATGCCGCCAATGACGACAAAAAGCAGCCCCACCAGAAGCTAAAACAAAGGAATTTTGAAAGACTTTACTTACTTGGAAAACTTTCATTTTTGTTTCATTATTTGAATCGTTCTTTAAGCTTTTGCAATTAAAACTACCAAACTGATTAATTGTGTTAGTTAGCATTTCAAGTAGGTACCTAAATGAGAGATATGAATGAATGAAATTACTACGGTATTATTAGAATTTTACAACAATTTAGATGCCTACAAGTAATAAAAAATATAAGCAATTTGGAGTAGTAATAATACGTACCTACATTTTCATTCAAACCCGGATGTAGAGCAATGTAAACAAATACCAGACATTAATAAAGCTAAAACTGATTCCTAATTGCAATCAAATACACGAAAACGCAAGTTCCTTGACCACAAAACTAGGTTAAACATAATCCAGCTCAAGGTATCTTGCCAGCGAGGAGTCGAAGGCAGCCACCATCACGTTAAGCATGGTGATTACGAAGGCTACAGCCGTGGTGAAGTAGTTGATGCCAAGGGCTGACGCTCGGTGCCGGGGCAGGTGGAAGCGGCAGTCTCGGAGCAGGTTCAGAGAGAGGAGCACCATCCCCATACCCACCTACATAGAGCTGTGATTAGACTTTGCAGATGAAGGCACACTGATTCTGCGAACATCCTGTAGGTACCGAATGTCTGGGAGTTCTAAAGCTAGATTATTTCATTACCTATCTTACCTTGATTACCTATTATGCTTCTAGGTCCAAAGAAACTGGGAATTCACTTAGCAGAAGTTCTGAAAGTTTACTGCATAGGAACCTCGAAGTGGTGCATCTCCTTCTGCCCTGGTCATATCTTATTTTAGGCATATTACCCTTACATAATAAGCTCCTGAATCTCTTGATAAGTTGCTGAAAATCTAATGAAATGGATATTTCGGCAGATGAATAGGTTCTATACAAGTTTTTCTGACGAAGAATATTCAGGTGTTACCTGTTACAGGCACCTGGAAAGACCTTTTGGTAACAGTAATTGCGTAGATGCTGCGGTTCGACAGTAAAGTAAAACGGTATTTAAAAGATCTGCTAACCCACCTGCAACACTATAGAGATGGATATGAGCACCACCAGGAGCGTGTAGAACTCGTGCTTGGGCCCGACCTGGAGCACGTACTTCAGCTGGGACGCGTTGGAGGTCAGCAGGGCGATGTCCAGCATGCCCTGCGCCACTGTCTTCTTCGTTGCATAGCGGTTGGCGTCCAGACCTTTGACCTGGTAATAAAATCATTAAAAAAAGAATATTACTAATTTGTGGTGCACAAACCTTATCAGCTACTCTAAATTAATGTGCTTGTGTTATGATATGAATGGGTTTAACACAACAGTAAGGCGGACTCCCGACCCTCGGCAAATTCGGGCTAGGCAGTCTTGTACTAGCACCATGTAGAGTCAGACGATCCTATTTGTCGACAGTGGTTTGGTTTTACTATTTATGTAATGATTTTTTGCTAATTAAAAAACTGTCTGAAATATGCAATTAATAATTATAAGGACTCTACATGATTTCTTTACAAACATGTTAACATTTTTTAAATGAATACCCATGTCAGTCATATTAGCAGCCAACACAATAACATGTTTATAAAAACCTGTATGAAAACTTTAAAATTATAATGAATTTTATTGTTAACAAAAATATTTATTAGTATTTGGTTTACCAACTGATCATGCATTACTTATAATAATAAATCTTTGGACAATTTCACACAGCGCCAGCTAGCCCCAAAGTAAGCAACTTAATGCTTGTGTTATGGGTGCTAGCTTAACGGATATACTACTTATATACTTTTTTTTTAAATACATAAATATTATACATAGTCACACCCAGACCCGTCACAGAAATTAAAATTCATCATTTCAATTTCTGCCCGGCCGGGAATCGAACCCGGGACCTCTCGGCATAGTAGTCCGTTCTGAACCACTACACCAAACGGCCGACTTATAATGATTGATATTATTATTTACGTAGGCATGTAGTAATTTCAAATTTCAATTAGTAATGAAAACCACCGGAAATTGCAACACGTACCTACCTACTTGGAACTTACTACAAGAATCGTAAGTAAATTTATTACCTACTTAAACGGTTATTTAACCATCTGATGAAACCTAAATAATAATGTAAGTAATAAAAAAATCGGAAGTGTTAAATTAAGACTGAGTTGCACCATCTTAAATCTGTCAAACTCCATATAAAAAGCACCGGTTATTGTTAATGTTACGGTTAAAATAAGGTGGTGCAACTCAACCTTACATTGTTAATTTTTATTATAAAGGTTACAGCTGATTTAGGATAGGCACATAAGTACCTAACCCATTTAAGTGTTATAATTAAGTCCGCTACTTAAGTAGGTATAAGTTACGTACCTCTAAGTAGAAAATAAGGCAAAAGCAGAAATGGATTTTACTCGTAGCTGCGTGAAAGAGTTCACCATCACCACCATCTTGTACAATTTCATGGGACACCATTTTATTAGATGATTTGTCAGATTAAAATACCGGCCTACTTAAGTACCTACTTACTTATTGTATCGAATGTATGAAGGATGATCATTTTATCACTAAACCTAATAATGATCTAAAACAATGAAATAGACGCTAGGTCTTTATAAACTCTACGTTATTTCAGGTTGAAATCAAAGCATTCTTTGTTAAATATTACAATATTCTATCTAGCTAAGTATGGCAGCGGCTTTGAGGCGGGCTTACGTCCAAGAGAGGACTGGAAGATGCCACAGTGTATTTATAACTTGATATTGTAATGTAAAATGTAATAATAAGCACTTAGTCGAAAAATTATGAATGTAAATTGGGACCTAATAATAACTAGGCTAAGCTGACTGAATGAAAGAATGAATTGCGTGTTTCACGCTTTTATGAATGAAAGCCATAAACGTAAGTACCTATTTAAGATTTTAATCTAATTAGTTGAATACTCTCTGCTATTTACGCTTGGTAGGATATTTTTACGCTTTTAAATATTTTTAAACCTATTTTAATAACGTAAGAACCGAATGTATAAGTGAACCAATTGCGATTATTAATTTTCTATTAGAGAAAACTTTAACGTTACTTTGACTTCAATGCTGTTTTCTACATATACGCAAACTCATTTAGGTAAATTCAATTCAATTTAATAGCCTCATACATGAGTGACTGTCACCCCGAGACATGAAGGTACCCACACCTGACGTGACCTTTTACCTACCTACTACCAAATACCTACTTATCAACACATGCCCTAGGGCAAAAAAAGCAGCCTTAGAGACGCCATCACGACACCAAAATAACAAAGCACGATAGTCAATTCTTCATAAAACGTTTAAGAAATCAATAAATTGGTACTAACGATGGCACTTAATTCATTCCGCCCCACCACAATTTCTTCCACATTCACGGTGGGGGTGTCACTTTCACTTTCACAACCCTCACTCCGTTTGTCCAATTTATCGTCAGCCATTGTTAATTATTTTCCAATAACTATACAAAATACAACAAATGAAAAAAACGTTAACTTGGTAGCGTGCGGGCGCCCACTGATTCGGCTGTTGAAAATCTGAAGGAAGTAAAACTTCCTACCGAGTACCGACAAGGCCAGAACAATGCATTATTCAGTCATTATCCAAGATATTGTTTTACTCGTAAAATCACGTAGTAGTTCTGGTAGAGTAAGTACCTAACTACCTGCCCAGACTGATTGGGCAATGATCTTTTAATGTAAGTACTTAAGTTCAGTCTTGAGTGCCAGTGCAATTGTAAGTAATACCAAATACCTACTTAAAAACAAAAAACTTAGATTTGAATTAAGTATTATACAGGTTTTACCGCGATTAATACGCGGATAGTGCAACCCGGTTTAAATGTCAGGCAAATACTATTAAGTATTTCATTATTAATTACCTATCCGCGTTAAAACCTGTTTAAATAAATTCAATTATGCAACGCGAAAGTTTAAAATTAAACTAAGATTTTCCGGAAAAAAAATTGTGCCAATATCCCTCCATAATGCGTTAAACACCACACTAAATGCTGTCTAAAAATTGCCTACATACTTAAGTACTTATTTAGTTTTAAAAGAGATCGATGAATGAAATCTAGGGGACTGGCTGCGTTTTCTTAGTTTAGTTAATGTTTGTTTTAGTTAAGTTTAGAATTTTTGATCATAAAATATTTATTAACTAGTACATAGTAAATGAATGATCGATAGATATTAATAGGTATTAATGAATAGTTTATTTCTAAGGCAAGCAGCCCAACATACCCCATTTCGCAGACCAGCAGGTAGAATTGCAGCCATTTTCATAATAATAACACACTAACTATTAAAATATCTTCAGTTACTCATAACTTGTGATTTTGTCCAGGTTTGATACATTTTCGAAGCATTTTTCAATTTCACAATTTTACAACTTGGGAATCACAACTTGTCTGTATCGGTGACAAAGTGGCTATGATGACAAAATCGATGGCGTTACCTGACAACGAAGTAAACACAACAACTCAATAAACCCAATACCCATAAATATTGCTTTTTCGAGGTCACTAACGAACCACGTAAGTATTTTAGTTGACTTACACGCAATAATTATTTAATAAACTCCCGATTTTGCCTACTAAAGTCTAGACAGGTAAGTAGGTGTAATTAGGAACTTAATTTAAAATCTACTTATAATGCGACGTGTAGTGAGATTAAACGAAAATATTTCCAATTAGAACAATACGAGCTAGGCATCTGTTAAAATCCCTTTCGGGAGTCAAACCCGAGAACTCTAGTGCTAAAAGCGTCAATAGTTACGATATCCATAATTGATTCTAGGTTCATAGTTCATTATATTATAAGTTATTTGTATGATTAAATAGACATGTTTCAGATTTAATAACCTACTTAAGTTTCCATGTAAAGTTAGCACCATTGTGCTACAGTAAACTTAGTAATAGGTAGTAGGTACCTACGTACAAAAAACAGTGAACAAATTTTAGGGAGAGTAGGTATGTACCTATTTTAGGTAGGCACCTAATACCTAATAAAATAACCTGAAGATGAGCAGAGAATCCTTTCCATTCTATTACCCAAGCTAGCGACCATTCGGTAAATTATTTTCTCCTTGCAAATGCAGCATCTAAATCCTTTGGCTAATGTAAATCCAAAGCGAAAAAAAGTTATTTTGAATAACGCCCACAACGTTTCTTCAAGTACCATTATTTTGTAATCATAACTAAATACAAAAACGAATTTTAATAACACAGTAGGGGAACCTGTTGAACCTTGGACAGAGTTGTACCTAAAACAATTGTATATATTTTTTAAATTATGCGGTTTTATGAAAAGTTGTCTAGGGTATTACATACGTTATTTGTCAACATTAACGTGAAGTTAGCTAAGATTCGCCGACGCCGTGCAAGTACAAGAAAAAATGGTAATTTAATATTTTACACTGACGCAGTGAGTTTTTGGAGGTTTACTTCATGTCAGTTTATGAAAAATGTTGCACGTTTGACAAAACGGTTATAGTTAGAACATAATCTTTATATATCTAGCTACTGGACGATATGAGTTTCAGATCCTAAGCTCAAATGGAAGTGGGTTTATTATGCTTATTAAGTGAAGTAGTCGTAATGTTGTACCTTGACCACCCAACTAGCGATGTACCTTGGTCACTGATTTTCATTACGTTTTAATGAGAATTTTATGGTAATAAAAAAAAACATATTATACTGTTATAGATACAATGCCCGGAAGACCTCAAAATAGCAATTTAAAGTCTGTTTTTGATATATTTTTTTTTAATTTCTAATGTTTTTTAAATTTACGTTTAATGTATCTTCATATGACTTTTTTAAGATTATTTTTGTTGATAAAGCGGTTTTAATGGATATTTTGCTAGAATTTATGTTAAATGATAAGAAATAAAAAAACTAGATTGCAAGTTAAAGCCACTCCAGCGCGTATTTTGTCCTACACGACATAACATATCAACATTCAACAAAATTTTCTAGAAAAAATGTTGAATTTTTGTTGATTGTGTAAGGCTAAACATGGACTGGAGAGCCGGCTTAAAGTTAAGTGACTTGTTGCCAAAAAATTGTGAAAAATAATTAGTACAAAAAACATGGATGAGGATCTTTTTAAAAAAATACTTTTACTTAGATATTGTTGCTAATAACTGTAATAATTGGTATTTCAAATAATAATTTAACAGAAAATTAACAAATTGAAGCGAATATAAGCATTTATTTAAATTTAAATAGGTACAACGTACACGGTCCAAGGTACATCTGGTTTGTTGTACCTAGGACAGTTTTCCCTTTTTTTTTCTAGCAGCTAGTATGCCCAAATTTTTAAAATTATACACAATTTTATGAATGAATTATGTAGTTAATTAAATGATCTTTAAATATAACTGCACTAGACAAGTTTAACTATCACCATTATTTTTCAAAAAATCAAAATTCGAAAAACTGGCCTAAGTACAACAGGTTCCCCTATTAGAAAAACTTTTCAAAAACGGCGCGCCTACACACAAGTTAACTTGACTGATATTTCAAATGGTTACATTAATTTGGCATCAGTGTGTAAGAATTTGTTTATTTCATAATATTAACAGAAACTTAATTAACATAAAAAGCACCTTTAAATTAATTTGTTTATAAAGTTTTATTTTTTTTTAAACAGCTTGAAATGAAACGGTGTCCCAGTGCCCGCCTGTTCGTTCGACTCTTCTTCCTTCCGTCTGTCAAAAATGTTTCCATTCTTTCGATGGCTTGTATTGTTTGCGTAAATACAAACAAAAATGTTTTTGTATGTGAAATAGTTTTTAGTTTTGTCTATTATATAGTGTAAAAGTTATATTTTGTTAGTGCTTTTATTATTGTTTTAATACTATGTGAAAACCATTCCACTCCAAAGTGGAGAAATCTCAGTGTTACGGAGCTTGAGGAGAGCACCTAAATTTTACCAGATGCTGCCTTCTATGCCAATATTGTTCACCCGGGAAAGTCAGGATGCGTTTGGGAATAAAATTGAACCAAGCACGAGCTTTTTTAATCCAAATACATTTATAAAACCTGCGATTCAACCCGAGGTGAGACGAAAGAATTTGTGTGATTTCTACGTAATTCTGATCGGATATCATTTGTTTTGTTTTGAAAATAGATAATTCCTAATTTAATTAACACGAACATCCTTAGGTTACTAGCAATTACGTTTAAATTATGCTGCTAATTTTACATTTTCCGTAATCATAACGTAGAGAGTCGCCATTTTTTAACAGCCGTAAATACAGTGATAAAATTAAGTGTCAAATTTCAGCCTCCTCTTCAGAAAGTTTTGGTTGTAGAGCCTGTCAAAACTGCTCCGAAAGAGACGAAACCCAAGACTAGTGTGAAGAAAAAAGAGGATCCGCCTAAATTTGATAACAATGCTTTAGAAACAGGTGAGTATTGGAATCAAGCAACAAGTTCATGACATCTTGTCTGATTAATTTATCAGTATAAAAATACACTATATTATTATCCTTGCCAAACATTACAAATTATGTTTGTTGTCTATTAGATTGTTTTTTTGTTTTAGATACCATCCCAATTTTCTTAACAATTTTATAATTCTATTTTGAGAATATTTCAATGTTATGACTAAATTCTATTACAATTAACCTAGTTCCTTTCATTTCAGCTTTAGTTAAGTCTTATTACTCTAAAGTACAATCACGGTTTTCTTCCAATCCATCGGTGCCTAACAACAAATTTATCCAGTTCCAAAATATATTGAAAACATTTGATCCAAACAAAGAGACTCCGGTGGAACTTTACAAGAGAATCGAGCAGTTGTTCGGTGATGAGCACTCGGATATTCTTGAAGACTTTCTATTGTTTTTGAAGCCAGGCCAAGCTGCCAGTGTGGGTAGATTTATGGACCATTTCATGTTGGTCCAGATGACCAGCTTTATAGAACTTTTACATGTAAGTGTGCTGTTTAAATTGCACTATTTGTAATCTTGTAATACTCTCTGATGAACAAATAAGGACAATTTTAAGAACTAAATAACAATTTTCTGCTATTCATTTGATGTATATGATGCCTAGTTACTAATACACAGATCTGGCATCAGAGAATCAGCTATTTTTGTAAATCTTGACCTAGACTAAACCATGACCTACATTCACCATAACCTAAATTTTCAGAGTGTGTTTTATCGCAAGCCAACTGTCCTGAGGAAGATATTACGAGCTATTACTGCCGGCATCAACAGCGGCAGCAGTGAGGTGATGAAGTCACGGGTTCTGCCCCATTTGAGGTCCAATCCCCGGCTGAGTGAGATGTTCAAATCCTTGTTCCCTGATGAGCGGCCTCCAGACAGGTAAATCTTTTAAAAATACATTTTACCTTGTATCTTTCATGCATAATTCAAGGAAAGAATACATGAATATTTTATTTACTATGTCTTATGCGAATTTTTCAGAGCTAAATCTAGATCTTAAGTAGCTGTATTTATAAAGATATACCTAGTTTTTTTTAAATTTGATATCAGTTTGTTTTGTTGTGTGTTGTGTCTAGGGGTAACCTTAGTCCTTCAAATCTGTGCAGATTTGTTTTCAACATAAATCATAGAACAGTATAGAACCACATACTAGCTGTACTTTAAGAAATTTTTTAGAGGAATCTTTTATTATATCCAATCCATGGCAGACAATACCATGTTTCATTCTGCTAGATGTGGCACGACGACGACGCGACGCGTTATTATCGGTCCAATCAACGGATAAGTCTACTTTGATCACCTATGGATTTGATCACCCAGGTGATCAAAGGACACCTAAGGCATTTCGTCCACGGGTCGACTTTCTTGCGATTTAAGTATGATACGGGTATCCTACGGGTCGACGGGAAGCGCTCTCGACGCAATCACGCATCGCGTCGGATATCAGTCTCGCGCGACTCGTGCTAGTCGCATGACGTCAAGCATTATGGCGAACGTGCAAAAAAATATTATTTGTGCAAGAAGTGGAGAAACATGCATCAAATCCAGGTGATCGAAGTGAAATAGACTTTATTATCGCGTTCGCACTTATAACACTACACCTACGTACCCCACATTGGCCCCTTAATATTGCACCATTAATTATTGACCTGGTGAACTCCCCCTTCATTCCCCTCGATTCCCCTTTGATTGTATCAGAAACACCAACATTGTGTGGAACCCTCGCACTCACCCGCACATCTCCTCGCGTTCGCACCAGTTTCGTGTGACGTCACGGCTGCCGGGTGCGCAGTTAAGTCGACCAATGTGCCCTGCCCAGCCCTCAGTTTTGCTTCATCTGATGCAGCATATTTGACTAATGGATATCACTTGTTCTAAGTATCCTCCTCTCCCAAAAGGCGAGACCCATACTAAAAACTGGGGGGGGCCTTCTGCTAACCCCGAAATCGGTGTACAGTAGTACAGTAGCGGCATACAGCCGCGTGTTTACAAACCTAGTGCCAGGCTTTCTCCATGAGCCTACTGCGCACCCTCTTACTTGGTTCTGTTTTTATAAAAGGAAGACAATCTCTCGTCTTGCCAAAGTAGCATTTTCAGACTACTATACTGTATGCCAAAAAACCTGACGCGAATTCAATCGCACACACTTCGCTCTAGCTCCCAGTTCTCAGCAATCGTCTGTCAGTTTCACAATCAGCTACCTCACACCTTGGGGCTTGCGCCTTTTTACCAAATGCGTGCACCTCGAAGTATTTTTAAATTTCCATTTCTCTAAAAGAACGAACGCACGACTTCTGCCCAAGACGTCTATAAAGTAGATTAGGATTGTCGTTTCTTGGATGAATCAACCAGATTCAATCGTGGTCTTCTGAAATGTAAAATGATATGGAATCATTCTTCTTTTTAGAAGATCATGATTGGCTTCGGGCGAGTTGTCTAGCAGTCGATCTGATTGGGCTATCAGAGGCGTCAACTGCCAGGCTCATTAAGTTAGACATTCAGTCAACTCCCATGATTAAAAACGTGATATTAAAGTAATTTTTCACAAAATAATTACTAGACTTAGCTGTTTACATGAGACTATTGTTACAGCGCATACGACACAGGAGTGGATGCGATCCCCGAGTCGTTGTTATCGGAAAGCGTTCGATATGAGACCTTGGAGTTCCAAGAAGAGACTGACGCGAAGAAGAAAATTGAAGCCACTGAAGGACTAGACACAATGGTAAGAAAAAACAATTTGGATGTTATTTTTATGTGCATGTTATTTATTTCTTTCTGATTTATTTATACCATTTTCCAATTTTTCGGCCCTGATTAAATTGAGCAAGTTCTGGTTCAAGTCTTGCACAGGTCTATTGTAAGCATCATTAGCACATGTGTTTGTGCATAATTTTTTAGAACTCTAGCATTCTAAAAAAACACAATCGTGTTACTTTTTAACATAACGGAAGATAAAAGCGGTTTTAATGCCACGATAGACGAAGCATGCTGCTGGAAGGTGAGTATCAGTTTTTTAATAGTTCCAATTCTTTCCTTTCAGTATCTCCACGGCCGAGTATTTCTTCAGCACGGCAGGCTTCTCAGGTCAGCAAACGTTGAGTTTCCATACAGCAAGGAACCTTACCGGGTGCACGCCCGACGTCTAGCCCCTGCCCAGTGCCACCTCTCACCTCCAGAATCCGACGACGAAAGGGCATCACCCAAGCGCACCAGAAATTCTAAAGTACCCCCCAAAAAACCCAAAAAACAACTCAAGTCCCCAACCAAAAACGCGAAAGACGTTAACGATAACACAAAAGTTAAAGATATCGTCACAAACGTTCTCAACAGCCCGAAAACGGTGAAAAACAAACAGCAAAACAAGAAAAATAAAGAGAAAAAGGACGACGCGAAACAAGACACGCAGAAGAGAGAGAGAAAAGACAGCAAAAATTCAACTTGCCAGAAAAAGGACGAGGGCTCGAAACCAAAGCAGCCTAAAATTGACCCAGTGTGTACAGAAATCAAAGCAGTTATTAAAAGCAGTAGTTGTGCGGAACCAGTGTGCACAGAGGTTAGAACAGAAGTAAAGAGTAATAGCTGGACGCGGGAGGAGGACAAAACTATGTTGCAAGTGCTAAAAGGTGAAGCTGATACTGAGCAAGTCTTCGAAAGAGTGAGAGAGTTGCTTCCTCACCGCTCCGTAACAGAGATCAAGGAACGATTCTGCCACGTCATGACCCTACTGCAGCAAATGGCTGTCGGAGAAGTCACTTAGCGCTAAGGAAATTAATTAATCTGTAAGCGAAAATAGTATTTATAATTTTTGTAAAAATAAATTGTTATTTTTACTTTGAACTTTCATGTTGTTTTCCTTTTACCCCGATAGGATTAGTAATCAATTGTTATCATTTTTAGAACTTTTAACTTTGTTCAGATTCCTTCTTCACAAAATACCAACCGAATTGAAAAGCTCCTCCTTTTTGAAGTCGGATAAAAAAGGGCCCTCTCTATCATAAGTTGTTGTTTAAGTACCAAAAAGTTTATAAAACGTAATAGGTAATTACATCCTCTTTGAAGTTTCTAATATCTATGTCAAAATGTAACATCAACCAAAACATCAACATCTCAAACTGATGGATTGTTTTTGACATGTTTTATTTTGTTAATTTTTGTAAATAAAGTCTCATGTTTCGATTGAGCGATAACTATTACCAACGAGAATGCTACCTCAAGCAGGAGCAAGTGCCGACACAAAGCGTGATGATAAAAAAGATGTCTCCGCCGCTGGCAAACGTTTACTTCAAGTCCATGATCCCGAAGCTCAAAGTGCTGGCTGGTCTTGAGCCGCCCATGAAAGGAGGAGGCAGCGATTGGTACATCCCTCCTCAGGAGCTACTAGAAGGCAAGATTTCTCTCAAGCCCATGAAAAAAGAACACCTAACAAAACTAGGCTTCAATGGAATTGATTACTTCGGCGAGAAAATTGTTGCACATCATCACAAATGCATGGACGAAGAAAAGGCCCAAGTGCTCCTCGAAAGCGACATAAACTGGAAAAGAACCATCGAAGCTAGCTGCAGGCAGCAGTGGGAAGATACCTCCAGGGAAGCAGCACGACGAAACACAGAAAAAATCCAAAGCGCCTTCCGCGAATTCACCACTCTGTACACAACGTCCATTGCCAAAGTAGAAAGCCTTCTTTTTGATGCCACTATTGAAGAAATAAAGAGAATTAGAGAAGAAACGTTTCAAAAAATGGATGAACATTATAAAACCCTTTTGAAAGAACAAGCGACTATGTTATACGATAGATACACCGAGAAACTTAACGTAGAAAAGGCTAGATTGAAACAAAAATTCATACGAAACGTGGAACAAACGCGCAGCCAAATGGGTGCACAACTGCATGATATTCAAGAGGAAAAACACACAGCCATAGAGAAACTGAGAAACCTATTTGAATGCCAGAACTTAGCCTGTCAAGTATACGTAGCGCTGAAAGAGCGAGAGGAGTGTGAAAAAGAAATAGCACTTTCTAAACATAAACACGAAAAACAAGCTAAAGTTTTGAAGGAAAAGATTGCTATGAAAGATTTTGAAATCCGACTCGCAAAGGAGAAAGAGAAGAAGCGTAAAGAATTCAACAAAATATGGCAAAAGAAAATTTGCGAAGTGGTGAAAAAATTCCAAATGTTTGTATCGTATTGTCTGAACTCTTTGCCAGAACACGCAGAGTTCTTTATGAACATGGAAAAATTAATGTTGTTGCAGCTCAACGAAGCAATGGAGAATCCTAGTGCTGAAAGCATTTTTATCACAGAAGAAAACTTGTTCCATACTCCAGTTCCAAGACCGCATCCTTTCTTTCTCTTTTGCGACAAAGGATACAAGCCACATTTAAATCAAGATCTATGTCCGAAGCACTGCACGTCCAGCGCTTCACAACTCCCCGTTATAGTCGTCAACAAAAGGTGTATTTACGCTGCTTGTGATAACTTTGAGGTGTTCTCCGATAAAATTAAGCAGTACATTCATGGGCGTCGCGGAGAAGACGTTGATTTTCTAGACGACCACGACTACACTTATAACATACCTGTGACTTTTACGCATTCACAGCAGTTGCTGGAGTTAAAAATGGAAAGTTCTTTGATGCAAATCTTGCAAAAGGAACATCCGAATATAAAGCAAGTGCAAACCCAGTGCTGTATATGCAAGATACCTCATTGCTTCTGTAGTCGGCTAGAAGCGGAGAAGATTCCTTCAGTCGTTCGCCTTGAGCCTGTAGAGGAGCCGCCTTTGCGTTTGATTCCGTCCGGCAACAAGTTAGATACGAGAAGTGCCGAGTTGATTCACGAACGAGAGCCTAAAGTGGAGAGTTACATCGATTACATGGAGCCGAAGAAATGCAACTGCGCCGGAAGAGCAAAAAAGAATATACGGGAACATTTACCGGCGTACATGAGGAATGTGTCTAGATTTTACCCTCCAGACTTGCCCCATTATGAGCCTTGCTCCGTCGCGGCTTTGAAGAAGTTGGTCAAAAAAGCTCAAGGCAGGCGTTCTCCGCCGGAACTTATCAGAATTCCTTCGAGAACTAAGGAAGTGAGCACGCAGTACTCCGACCAAGAGTTCGATTTGTTGTGCACTTGCTTCTCAGACGAAGAAATTGACCGGCTGTTCAAAGAAATCTTTGCTAGGCCTGGCGACTTCCATTTTGTTGATGGATCTGTTACTGCTAGCCACTTGGAAAGGCAAACAAGTTCGTTTGCGACGCATCGGGCACATTCACTGAGGAATTTGATGGCCGCTTCGCCACATCTAGAAGAAATATTCAAAAAGACAGGATGCGACTTTGACGATTAAAATAATTGGTACCTAATGTAAAATAAAAATGATTAAATCAATATTACTATTTTAATCTCTACAAACTTTTAGTACAGTCAGAGTCAATTAGTTCGTGACACCCAAAGTAGCCTATAAGTTCGCGAACGTCTATGGATGTTATATCAACTTTTCGGCGCTGACTGTACCTACCCTACACATATTTAAGAGGAAGTGCTTCTAATGAAATTCAGTCTTTTTCGAAGTATTACGGGCCATTATGTAGTCACTACGATAGCATCGCGTGCTTATCGGATAAAACAACAGTCTTCATATTGTGATAATATTTAAAGTATCCGGATAAGTAAGGTGTGTAGTACACGTTAGGGGCTTATTCCACTATTCGATTCGATTAGTGATCTTTTTGTTCACTATTCCCCGTTATATTAGGATTTTATTTTTAACATTATAAGCTCCATTGGCGTTAACGGGGAATAGTGAACAAAAAATTCACTAATCCCCGTTGACGGGGATTGTCAATGGGGAATAGTGAAATAAGCCACGCTAGGGACACATACATCACTCTAACACATGAGCATAACCGAATAGGGAGCAGCTTCCTATTCCCATAAAATATTGTTTTTAGGAGGAAACAAATGTGTCGAATTGAAACTGCCTATAACATATTTAAGCTGACAATGATTCAGTTTCTTGCTTGCGCTGTTTCTTTTTAGCACTAGCCCACCCCACAAGGGTTGCAGTGTAGTGAGTTATTGCTTAATAAGAAGAAATATGTATGTTTGGATGTGTAAAAGGCCAATTTACTGAAACTGTGTACCTATTTCTTAATGTTGTTGCCTAATAAAACCAAAAAAGTAAATGGAAGATTTAGGGCTGATTTTTCAATCGTCGGATAACTTTTAACTAAAGAATAAGTTTGGCACATTGACAGTTTCAGTATGGAAAATATGTCAAAATGACAAGTTTATTCTTCAGTTAAAAGTTATGTGACGATTGAAAAATCGGCCCTTAGGCATATAAATGAAACACAATTTTAGTCTATAAAACTTTTTTTTATTAAAAATCACTGCGATTGTGTAATGTCGACGAAGATGCGCAAACGCATCGACGCCGAGCGTCGCTTACGCACAGGATCTGGCAAATACAGTTAACAATACTCTATATCATATGATCTTACATCCCGCCGGGCGGGCGATACATTCACAAACATTATTTGATTACAACTAAATGTAAGCGAATCGGAAAACAAATGCTGTCGAATCTATGTATTGAAATACAAAATAAATACATTTATTACATTCGGTGTAAAATTTACCCAGAATATCTGCGCAGTTTTACTTGCGCGTACAAACATTACATATTTTATAATTATATAAGAGATTGTATTAGACACGTGAACCTAGCGACATCGTGAGACCCGACTCCGTTACACCCATTCGGATACTAAACCGATTAAATTCTTAATTAGTAATGTCAGTCCTAGAACTTGACACCGGGCACCGCTGCCGCCGCCGACGCCTATGTGTGGCCGAGTGTGCCCCGAATGCAAACATGTGCATGTGGATTGAGTGATCCTTGCTTCAATCTTAACAAAAATCGAGGAAGTTTTACTTAAAATATGTTAAAACATTGCGATGAAGTTTAAAAATTTGTTAAACCTAAGATAAAAATGTTATGGCCAATAAATAGGAGCACTCATACCGCACGCTTTAAGAAAACGTCAACATGTTTATTTGAGAAAATAAAGCCTTTCCACTTCTTTTTATAGTATAGAAAAATTGTTAAGAATATGTTAAAACTATTAACAAATTCAGAAATTCCTTGCACGTCCCGTTCCAAAGTTATGACGATTATTTAGGATCACTCACACCGCACACGGGCCGTACGAGTGCTCTTCAAAATAATGACTTTTTATTAATAAATACGTTTTATTTCTGTTGGGAAATGTGTGCAAACTGACGAGCGAATTTGTTAAAGAATAAGTGTGACAAAACTTAAAAGCTGAAGGAAGAAATTAACCTTTATTCTTTCCTCCAATATGCCGTGTGAGTGATCCTTACTTTTACCTCTTGTCAAAGATCAACGTACGCATGACACATGTCAGCAGAGCACCGTGCGACGTGACCTCACTCTGGAACGCCTCGAGTCGTGCGAGTTGACATCGTAGGAAGCCATTGGAGCCTTCGTTTATCAATTGTTTTATCGTTTGTATTTTGTTTCTTACCTCCCACTCTAGCGCCGAAAGCCACGCCCACCGCGCACAGCGAGTTGAATTTGAACGATTCGTGCGCGGCGATTTATAGTAGTTTTCAAATACTCATAGAAAAAAAATTACAATGAATTATTTTAAATTTCAAAGTAAATATTTTAGATAAGATATTCTTCTATTATATTAAGCTTTTTTTGTGTTGAATAAAGGAAGAATATTGGTGAAAAAATCACTTTGATTTTTGGGTATTTCACGTTCTTTTAATTTGTGATTTCTTAGTGTAAAATGCTTAAATCTAAAAATTTTCTCAGATAACTATTTGCCCAAGGATCTATGCTATAGGATATATATGTTTGTTAAATCGTTTTCACAGTGTTTTTATAAAAATTTCAGCTTGTAAACTGACGCTAAAGTGGAAATTTACAAAACCTGTGTGGACTTATCTGGATAGAATTCTTAAATGCTAAACTAATCGCAATATTTTCTCAATTAACTATTTAGACGACGAAATTGTCTAACTATTACGGCCCGTGTGCGGTGTGAGTGATCCTAAATAATCGTCATAACTTTGGAACGGGACGTGCAAGGAATTTCTGAATTTGTTAATAGTTTTAACATATTCTTAACAATTTTTCTATACTATAAAAAGAAGTGGAAAGGCTTTATTTTCTCAAATAAACATGTTGACGTTTTCTTAAAGCGTGCGGTATGAGTGCTCCTATTTATTGGCCATAACATTTTTATCTTAGGTTTAACAAATTTTTAAACTTCATCGCAATGTTTTAACATATTTTAAGTAAAACTTCCTCGATTTTTGTTAAGATTGAAGCAAGGATCACTCAATCCACATGCACATAATGCAAACTTATCACAGTACTGTACGATTGCTATCGCGCTTACGTTTTTAAGCTTGAGATTAATTTTGGACCGCAGCTGATAACTGAAAGTCGGCAGACTTTCTTTTGTCTTTCATCATCCGCTCGATCTAAACGCAAACGCGATAGTAAAAGTACAGCGTCAAAAACACACATTCCGGGTTCCCTGGTAAATGCGGGGTCGAAGTAATACTGGTATCTGTTTTGGTATAAGTCCAAGCTGGCGCGAACAGATCGAAATAGTGCCTACTCGTGTTTACTAATATTTAAACCTATCAAATATCATAGTAGAATTTTAGATCCGAGTCCATAATATAACAAATGTAAATTATCGGCTCGAATACAACCCCGCTACACATAAGGCCAGCCACATAAGAGAGAACAAAACAGGTATTCCCACCGATCGTACATTATCCCAAAATTATACGACTCAAAATTATAGCAGGGCTGTATAATTGTGATTCTGTTCTTTTATCCCGCCAGCCGTAAGTTTAGTTCTCCGCTATACCCGTCTCTGTCTGATGCCAGCATCTCGGGATGTGCGAGAGAGGCGGGTATAGATCGTTTCATCCACGAAGACGGGCCCCACCAATTTTAGATCCGAGTAATCCGAGCGTCATTATTGTAGCGTGTGCACTCATGGATGATTTAACGTGTACCGATAACACTCAAACATTGTCAATCACTCAATGGTGGGGCGCGTCTTCGTGGATGAAAAGATCTAAAGTCCGGTCGCCGAGCACGTAGAATTTCGTCCAATAACCCCAAGCTACCGTGTCGCGCTAGCACACTCACTGATCCGCCCGTCGCACAGTCGCGACAGCAATATAATTACGCGCGAGCGATAAGGATGGGTAGCTTGGGGTCATTGGACGAAATTCTACGAGGTCGGCGACCGGACTTTAAACAGTGGAACACGCGCGGGACGGTGGTGCGGTGTCGGGGCGGCGGCCTCGTGTCGGCGCTTAGCTGTAGAGGTCGTCGTCGCCGCCCTCCTCTTGGAACGTGGGCTGGTCGCCGCCCGACGTGCCCGTGCCGCCTGCCGCGCCGCCGCTCGTCGGGAATCTGAAGCGAAAGAACAGGTTTAGTAAGCAATGAGAATGGTACTCGGTGAGCGCTGAAGTGCTAGGAGTATCGCATTTGCAATAGGATAGGGCCACTACAGAGTAACGCCAACTGGTGAGCACAAATATAAGTAATACGCTCGCAGTTTGCCGCACACCCTGTCTGAGGTGTTTGTAATTCAATGGCAGCAGCACTTTGGTGGCAATCACCAAAGTTATGCAAACCTACGCCGCGATCGGCAATGGATAGGTGAACGTATATGGGTCATTCCACAAAAATATGTCAACTCTTAGTCCGCGCCACATTTCACATGAAATATTTGTTAATATTTTATTCCAAAATTGTTAAATAACAGCTCACAATGTGCTTTATTCATCACCCATTTATATTTTTTGAAACTATTTTTAAAACATCTTAAATTCCTTTTGAATGACCCAAAACGTCATTCCCTAGGCATGTCCGTACTCCAAAAGTTTGTGTTTTGGGACCCACATTTATAAAAACATCAACTTTATCCTTTGTTTTAATTAACGAATAATCTATTTAAATGTATATTACACCAAATTCTATTAATATTTTGCGGTTTCAATAAACAATAATTTGATTTTCTTTAGTTGAAAAAGAGTCTACAGTTTTTAGCGTCATTCCCTCGCCACGCACTGATTTTATAATTTTGCGCTTTAATATGTATTTAGAGTGAATGACATTTAGTTGAGTTTAAAGTACGATACGAAGTTATCCTCAGACCATACTGGCTTTGCGGTAGCCGTTTTTTTTTAAAGTACGATACGAAGTTATCCTCAGACCATACTGGCTTTGCGGTAGCAGTTTTTTGAATTAGTGCAAACGTGCCAGTTGTTACCGAAACATGTGTTAATCCAGTCACTTCGTCAGTCCCTAGTTGAGTAGCTTTATTGATTATAATAGGAAATTGTA